ATTTTGCAATATTTTTCTAGCGCTTATCGGGAACAACGGACACAGTGAGAAATAAGGAACAATTGCCCGTGTTCTGAGGTGTTAGTGTGTCATCTGTGTTACAATTCGTGTTTATGATCTTTTGGTATAAAAAAAGTGAATACAGCACGTTCAAAAAAAAAAAAAATTCATCTTCTAATCAGCAGTGTATCTGCTTACCTCTACAGGAAATATTTTTTTTCAATTTCGTTTCGTCTTATGCACTCAGTTGGTGTCGGTTAAAATATAGTTTTGCTCCAAGATAGGGAGAACATTCCTGCAAAAAAAAAAAAAAAAACCAGACAGGAAGAACATTTCTGCCAAAAAACAAGGATAACATCGGAAATGGTGACTCGTGCCCAGACTAATGATTTCTTGATTTCGTTATGCGTGTCATGAAGCATTTCTCGTTGATATGTATACCGCCTCGAATATATTATTTTGCGTTTCATAACGTGTTAAACAGGCAATGAAATCTGAAACACGCTCGTTATGCAATGAATAAGATCAGGGGTAGGTTAATTAAGTACAATCCAATCTCTTTTAATGCGGTACTTAACGGTCCGGCACTTTAAAATTCGCTATTGAGCGGTTAACATTGTCAGCGGTCATTTTTTCAATTGTCCTCAGCAGTTAATTTTTATACGGTCTTGTCATATATATATATATATATATATATAAAACAATCGGATGTCTAGCCACACTGATGAGCTGTGATACAGCGAAACAGTCTGTGGATGTCTATGCTCTCTCGAAATAATTCTGAAAGGAAGTGTCGATTTTATAAACAGTGGCTGCTGTTGCAAATGCAATGCTCTTAGAATCGAGATCTCCTAGCCACTGATGTCTTTCGTATAGCAAAAACGTTAACGTGTCCCTTTCTCTCTGCCGGGCGACAATAGCTGGCAGGTAGAATCTCTGATTCCAATTCGGTCGAGTTTCGATCCCAACTTAAAACAATCTCAAAATGTCTAACAACACTGATTCACTGTGATACAGCGAAAGAGAATGTCTGTGGATGACGTGTGTATATATATATATATATATATATAAGTTTTTGTTTGACTAGGTCATTTTTTAGCTTTGAGATGTTTAGTCGCTTGGGCATCTTGATGCTTTGCGGCCTCCTTGGTGATGTGATTCGATGGCTCATCTTGTAGATCAGTAGTTGGTGTTCTGTCCGTCATTCGGCACTGCTCATGGTCTTCGTGACACTCACATCTCGCCTGTCCCTTTTGCCTAATGATGACGTAGTCAAATAGATGCCAGTGTTCGGAGCGCGGGTGTATCCAAGACGTCTTTTTGCAGTTGGGCTCTATTTGTTATGAGAAGACTATGAGCGGCATAGGATTCCAGCAGGAGACCATTGCTGTTACACTTGCCCACGTCTTGTTTTCCCATCACTCACTCCCACGACATATGATCTCTGCCGACACGGGCGTTAAAGTCATCGAGAATAATCAGCTTGTCTTCCTTGGGAACGGCCGAGATGGTGTCATTCAGATTCTCGTAGAATCTTTCACCACTTCGAGGTTAGTCATGGTGGGGGCGTACGCGCTGATCAGTGTGGCAAACTAGTTCCTGGGGTGCGGTAGGCGGACAGTCATCAGGCGAACGTTGATCCCCTTTGGAAGAGCTGTCAGCATGCTGACCAGTTTAGACTTTATGGCAAAACCAACTACTGTCTGGCGTCGCTCGTTGTGTCCACGTCTAATCCAAAAACAAAAATTGATAGAGGAGTTGGACAACAAGCTATCACCACGCAACACATATTCGCATGTTGATATGGAGGTGGAATGGGCTCCTTTCCGTGATGCGGTTCACGCTGCAGCTTCAGAAGTTATGGAACCCATCACCCGCAAGCACTCAAACTGGTTCGACGACAACGACAGGCGCATCCAGACTTTACTGGAGGAGAAACACCAACTCCACCCAACACTCTTTAAAATCCCGACCTCCACATCAAAGAAGGAAGCCTTTGGTGCTGTCAGGAGAGTTGTTCAGTCTGAACTACGCCGTATGCAAGGTGAATGGCTTAGGACCTATTCTCTAAAGCCTGCAAAGTCTTCGGTCTCAGAATTTTTAAGAAGACCAAAGTTCTGCACTTACCGCGCCATACATTGAACCCCATATTACCGTCAACGGCTAGAGACTAACATTTGCAGATTAGTTCATCTATCTTGGTATCACTGTGTCACGCTTGACCAACATTGATGGGGAAGTGGCCTACAGAATCGCCAGAGACATCGAGATCTTCGGCAGACTGAAGTAGATAGTATGGGAGCGACGAGGACTGAGCATTAACACCAAGCTCAAAATGTCTTATGCGTGCGAGACGTGGACAGTCTACAGCCGGCAGGCTAAACAGCTCGATGCCTTCTATATTAGATCCATGTCAAGTGGCAGGACAGAGCCCTGGGCACCTGAAATGTTCCAGCGTGCTGGGGCGGGCGGGGGCATCCATGACCTCCTACTGCGATATCAGCTCCGGTTGCTTAGCTATGTCCACCGCATGAACGACTGTCGCCTCCCAAAAATATTGCCCTATGGCGAGCTATCCACAGGCAAGCGGTCACTCGGGAGACCAAAGATGCGTTATAAAGACAAGCTGAAGGAGTCTCTCAAGCATTGAGGCATTCCCTATTCTACCTGGGAAGAGCCTGCTGACGTCCGTGCCATTTGACGCTTCCTTGTAATGTTGGGAGTGTCTGTTTTGATGAAAAAGTATCAGAGACAAAGAACACAGACGCCAGAAAAGACCAATCGAGCTCCACCTCTAGGCCTAATATATATATATATATATATATATATATATATATATATATATATATATATATCATTAAACTTGTTTTGATTTGAGGTCATGAATTAACATGTTTTGAATTCAGTGTTGTCTTTCTCCTAGACTAGTTCCCATCCAATGCTAAAGAACCATAGCTGTGGGAGAAGAGGATTCATAACTTTCCCATGGGAATTAGCACGTAATTGGTTGTAATGGATTCGACTGGAATTCAAACTCGGCTCTCCGATTCCTCAATCCAAGCATCCAGCAACAAGGCCTATGATCAGGTGGATTTGAGGTGCGTGGAACCGCATCTAGGTTGCTGTTGTTTCCGGGTTCACCTTGACCCGTTAGGGTCCCAGCTATGGGTAAATAGTTTCTCCCTCCCTTGAACTGGAGCCGGAATACTTGGAAAGTGTAAGGAGATTTTTTTGTAATAATACCATCAAAACAAATTACAGTATATAATGTGCGCATTCACAAAACTTCAAAAGACTAAAATTTCCCCTAAACGGGGCCACCCATTTGCCGTGGGTGGCGACGCGTGATACATGTGGACGGAGTCCTGGTGACTGCGTGACTCCTGATCTGGTATAAAATGACCATGAGTTTCCACAACACGTCACTTCTGTCCCTACCTGCGATAGACGGGTGGATGGAATAGCTCAATCAATCAGAATCGGCTCGTCACATAGTGGCAAGGGCTAGTTGGGATGATAGATAATGGGTCCAACAGGGCCACGAAACCTTACTTTATACTATACATGTAGACAAGCTGAAGGAGTCTCTCAAGAATTGTAGATATGGTGGGGGAGTGCGGCTGCTCGTATCGACTGTTATTACAACTATACTGTCTGTGTATCCCTGGCGGATTAGGACGAATGGGATTAGTCTCCCCTGATAGCGCCCCTTAAGGAGGTGGATGGGGAACACAGACATCGAATACAAAAATTAAAATTATATGGCTATATCTTATAAATGAACCAAGAGACAATGAGATTTCCGAAAGCGAAAATGAAATAGAAAAAAAATCAAATTTCCAACTTTCATTGTTGTAGAATCAGTAGAGGGTGATATATCAAAAGTGTCTCGTTTCATGTTGCAAAGGATTATTTCAGACATCTGTTAAAAAATAAAGAAAAATAATACTCTACTAATTCAAATAATATCCAAAAAAAAAACGCAGATAAATTTCTAAAAATCATGCAAGTTGACAACAAGGCCTGCCCGCAATAATTTCTTAATTCATCAAAAGGAGTAATAAAATGCCCAGAACTGTCACTTTGTTCATCAGAAGAAATTGAAAATGACGACACCCTAAAAAAGCAAAGAGTAACAGATGTTAAAAGAATTCAAGTAAAAAGAAATGACACAGTAATAAACACCAACACACATATTTTGACATTCGACAAACCAACTCTACCAAAAGAAATAAAGATAGGTTACACAATAGCCTAGGTAGAGCCATACATTCCTAATCCCCGTAGATGTCATAAATGTCAAAAATTTGTTCATCTTCAAAATGTTTGGACGAGAAAATCAGTCTGTCGAAGACTGATCATGATGAATCACCTTATGAAAGGCCTCCTTTATGTCCAAGCTGTAAAGAAACACCTCCAGCAGACTCCAAAGAGTGTAACATTTGGGAAAAGGAAATAATTAGAAGAAAATACAGGCAAAATATCTCATTCCAAGAAGCCAGGAAACAGATTGACTCTAATTCACTTCAAGCATCATATACAAATATCATTAAAATATCAAATCAACAAAAAGACATCCAAGAAAACAATGCATTAAGAAGCCAAGATCTTATAACTCTTATTAACGAATTAAAAAGTTTAATTGAACGACTAAAATTTAGTATATCCCTCATAAATCAAACTCCCATAGACAAAAATCATGTTCCGTCAACCTAAAAAAAAAAAAAAACTTCGTCTCTGTGTACAAAACAATTAAATCTGAAAATTACAAACCAAAGTACAAAAATCCAAGAAATAGAAACCTCTAAACATTCTCAAGAGAATCAAAAGATACATAAAAAAATAACACAACTTTTAGTGAAGAATCAAGAGAAATGGACATAGAGGAACAAAACTTTAGCCCATCACAAACCAGAGAACGGTCATCATCTATACACAATTCATTAAAAGAACCTAATGGTAAAACTAAGGGAGTAAAATCAAATAAGTAGAAACATAAGAAGTTTAAAGAACAAAACATAACAAGAAACAAAATTCTATTAGGCTGGAGTGCATAGAAATTATGGACACTTCACTAAATCTGTTTTCTTGTTTTTGTAATCCAGTTTGGAAAAATTAATTATTTCCAACAATACATTTTTGGTTATCAGCAATACTTTTATGAAGGAAAAATTATTAACAGCTCTTCATTGTTGAGGAAAAATTATTACCATTAATGTATTTTTGAAGGAAAGTTATTACCGGCAGTACGTTTTTGAAGAAAGAGTTATTACCAGCAATATAGTTTTGAAGAAAAAAATAGTTATCGGAGATAATAATATAATTTCTCCTTCAATTTTGAAGTAAATATCGTATTTTCAGCAATACAGTTTCGTAAAGGAATATTACTAGCAATACATTTATTGGAAAGGCGTTACCAGCGATACATTTTTTTGAAATATTACTTGCAATCGATTTTAAAAGGAAGGATATCGCTAGAAATATTTTTTAAGAAAAATACTACCAGCAGCAAAAATCTTGTCGGCATTAAATCACCAATTAATGTGCCGTAAATCTTAATCAATCAATCCGAGCCACTATCCATTACTCCACCGTGCCTCCTATATATGTCACAAGTCATCGTGGGCGAGGATTTCATTGTGCTGGCCTTGTTCAAATTATTGATCACGCTAAATAACACGTTTTTTTCCCAGAAATTGTAACTAAAGTCTGCTCAGCACGGTTGCAGTATAAACAACAGACCAGCTCTGTGGGTGTTGAATAAACACAAAAGCGCCTTAGTAGACGTGTATACTCGAATATAAGTGACCAGTTACATAATGGCTTCAAGATTGTCACATAAGTATTTATGAAAGTTTAAAAGGCTAATTAACAAGAAATCAGAATGAGCAGCAAGAAAATATTCCAAGTATTTGGTATTGTGAGGGAAATTAAAGAAAAAAACATGCAGTACAGCAAGAGCACTGGTGGAAGATATGAAAGCAATGAAAATGTTAACATCTCAAAGAAAAATGGTTGGTTAAAGGTGTTCAGGGAAACAGTTTTTTCAATAATAATTTTGAATTCTGAATGTAGAGATACATTAGATAGACCTGATAGCTTTATGTAATCCTTACTTTCCATTCTCGACATTATTTTTGAACTTTAGGAGACAGTAGGTATGTATGAATGATATATGGAACTATGACAAAGTAGAAAGGTTTTCTTGCGCCGCATTTCATCCATTGGCCTAAATTGGGATTTATGATGAGACTAAACATGCACACAATGGTGAGGGGTGAGGACTGAGAAATTTAAATTTAAATTTAGAAAATTAGAGATTGCAATATATAAATTGTCGCCAAATTGCGCAAAAATAAAAATAACACTGACATCTCATTTTAACAGGTATATTTATCAAAATTACACAAAACATATTTTGAAAAACTAAAGGCTAAATTCATTCAATAAAATCGCCATTGACTTTCCTCCTTCAGACGACTTCGGAATTTCCTGCAATTTCCGGGTCTCCTTGTTGAAGTAGGTTTATGCTGCCAAAATCTTTGCCTTCAGTTTATCTGAGTTTTATTGATTTCTCGTTCAACTGCTCCCCAATCATAATAAACAAGGAGACAAAAGAAAAAGATACAACGCGCATGCGGGAAATTAAAAATATAAAATGGCGACAATTTACACATCACACAGTGTATATTTGGGGTATAGTCTAGCCCAGTTCGTCTCTTTGCTTTTTTTGTTTAAGTTTATATCATGTAACAAAAACTTAAATGAAACTGAGAAGACTATATACCCAAAACATATATTTAAAAAAAAAAAAAAATTAAAATTATCAACGTTCCCCCAACTCCTTCGGGCACGACTAGTCGAATGTGACGATTTCTTAAAGGAGGAATCGCGTCAAACGAAAACTTTTCCTCTATCATATTTACATATCTATCTATCTCTATCTATCTATCTCTATCTATCTCTATCTATCTATCTCATCTATCCCTATCTATCCATCTCATCCTCTATCCCATCTATCTATCTCATCTATCCATCCCATCTCATCTATCCATCCATCTATCCCCATCCATCTATCTCTATCCATCCATCCCCATCCATCCATCCATCTATCTATCTATCCATCTCATCTATCTATCTCATCTATCCATCTCTATCTATCTATCTCATCCTCTATCTATCTATCTATCTCCATCTATCTATCTATCATCTATCTATCTCTATCTATCTATCTCATTCTATCTATCTCTATCTATCTATCTCATCTATCTCTATCATCTATCTATATCTATCTATCTATCTCATCTATCTATCTCTATCTATCTATCTCTATCTATCTATCTCATCTATCTATCTCTATCTATCTATCTCTATCTATCTATCTCTATCTATCTATCTCTATCTATCTATCTCTATCTATCTATCTATCTATCTATCTATCTCTATATATATATATATATATATATATATATATATATATATAAAAGCGTTTACTGGTAACATACAACCGTGATTGCTTGGTTTTCTTTGTTATACCAGATTTGATATATCTGTATAAGTCATGAGTGATGAACGTTTTAACGCATTTAATAAATATAGATACCTCGACGAAATCGCTAAAAAAAGAGCATAGCTTGATGAAAAAAACACCAACCTTGCCGAAAACAAAATCTTATCGTCTAAATGCTTATGTTATTATTAAGAGGAAAGATCAAAGTTTTTTCTAATTATTTTAAAAAATTTTTTCCTTTTTAGAACATTCAAAATTTTGATTAACAAAAAACATTGTTTCTCTTTGTATCACCGGAACTAGTAAATAACAGACAATTTTTAGCACGTTTTTTGGTATGACATACATTAATTTGGAAAATCTTGCAAAAATATAAATAATTGTCGGATGTTAATGAAACGTTCAAGAACTATTAACAGATGATCGAAATTATTATAAATATGTTTTTTTTTTTTATTAAAGTCATGGCAGAAATATCTTTATATATTTATTAACCCCCCCATAACTAATTTTATGAAAAAGCTAGAAATTCGATCGAGTCTAGTTTAATAATTGCAATAGTTAAAAGCACAAGGCTTTGAAGAATGCAAATCATGTTTTTTTTTTTTTTTTGTTTGTTTTTAATTGGACCCCCTACCTGAAAATCAGCTCTGAATTGTAACATACAAAACAAAATAAAACAAAGATATTATTTAATTTCAAATGCTTTTATTTGCTTTTATGGATATGGACAATATTTTCTGAAAGCAAAAATTTTTTCGATGAAAAATTAATTTTTAATACAAATATTTATTTCTTAATTATAATAGATTTTACATTTAATTTTTTAAAACATTTTAAAATTAGTTAAAAGCCGCATCAGGTTTCCTAATTCTTGTTATCTTTTTTAGCGCATTGTAAATTGTATCATTTTGACTAATCAGAAGATCCCCAGTAATTAAGAAATGTAATTTTGTGTTTATAATCGGACTGTAATTATAACGTACGGAAGACCAACCAGAATGCAATTAAGTTGCGTTATTTGAGTTAAGCATTGTTCTCCGCTGTTAAGACCTTTACTTTTGCGAAACACGTGTGGAGAAGTTAATTTGATTTTTCAATTTCAACTGAGAAGGGTACCTACAAGTATCAGTATCATCTTATGAAATTTATGTGATCTTATTTTTATATTAATCTCAGTTATGACATTTTTCCATAAATGAAATATCAAAATTAATAAAATGAATGGAAATACAAATAAAACAGTAAAATGTAATAAATGTACATCACCTGTCAAGTGAGGCGAAAGTTTATGACCTGCTTTGTTTTATTTTCAAATTACATCTTTTCGGCGCAGAAGCTAAGTTAAGCTTGGTTCAAAATATTTTAAAGAAACATTATAATTTCTGATTTTCTTAAAATCAGTTTTGAAAAAATGATAATTGATATTTAAAAGAATTTCAAAGTGAGATTTCCAGTTTTTTTTATAAAATGGAAAAAATGGTCAATTTGGTGGCTCAAAGAAAAACAAGATTTTAACAAAAATTTCGGACATGCTAGGAACGATTAAAAAATGTAAAAAAATTACTCCAAAATACTTTGATCTTTCCTCTTAATAATAACATAAATATTTAGACGATAAAATTTTGTTCTCGTCAAGTTTGGCGTCTTTTTCATCATGTTATGCTTCTTTTTTTTTTCTTTATAGCGATCTCGTGGACGCACCTAAATAAATACTACCCATGATTTCCAAAATTACCTGCCCAGCTTTTTTTGTTTGTTTTCTTTTTAAAACTAATGTCTCTCAAATTCACCAAATACCACATCAGCGCGAATTGTAGTTCTTCTTTTCGATGAGGAAAGTAAAATCAAATCCACTTCTTTGTCATTTTGTTCAAGTCTCTTTCTGATTTTAGACAAATAAAAAGAAATCTATTGAACCATTTTGAACTTCGTTAAGGTAATGGCGTTCGATGTGTTGTAACAATTAGAAGGACCCGCATTAAACGCTTACAAGCCGGACAAGCTTCGAACTCTGATCAGGTTGATCAAACTGATTATTCCTCAAGGACTGTAATATTGAACGATAAATCTGATTCTGATAATCGATTGATCAAATGACGCGAGATAAGCGGATTAAGGAAATGGCCGGACCTTGATGCGAAATTAAGTGTCAGAGCAGATGCACACTTAACCAATTGATATTTGATCGGAAGCTATGTTTGGAAAGCGAAGTTCTTCCTATTTTGCATAGAGATCCGGGAATTTAATAAGTTTTAAGTATGTTCTTTTTTAAATATGGCTCAGTTTACACGTTATTTTTACGTAATTGAATTTGCAGCATCGTATGACCGATTTTTTTTCTCTTCACTCCATATGAGAATTAGACATTTTTATTCGTCAGAGTGATTTTTCTAAGAATGGTCAACTTTTGTAGAGTGCTCGTTAAAAAGCACATTAAACGTAACGATTACTTAAGATACTGAGTAACCCATTATTTGGCTTTGCTACAAAAAAATAAAACAAAATAATTTTACGTATATATATCTTCGTAAAATTTTAGACGTGTTCCAACCATACCATTTTGGCGTTCTTTTCATTTCATTGTTTGTTTAAAATCATTTGCCAACGAAAGACCCTGATGAAGCGTTGGCTGAAAGGTACCTAGGTCCTGCAAAAAAAAAAAAAATGGTCATACAAAAGAAATTCATTTTCTTTTAAATCAATATTATATATATATATATATATATATATATATATATATATATATATATGCATATTATATAGTGTGTGTTAGTCTCTAGACTAAAACACTTAAAAAAAAAAAAAACTGACCGTGTTTGATTTCCTACATTATTTATTTGGTGCATTAACCATACCTATTAGCGTGTATGCAGGAATAGGAGTTTTGTAGAATCTAATTCCGCTCTCAAATATCCTAAATCATTTTTCTCCAGGGTTCTTATTACATTAACTTTCATTATAACTTTAAGTGATAATTAAATTGGGTGGGGAATTTTAGCAATTGATTGATGCCCCAATTCACACGGGCTAAAAGCGGAAATAACTTCTGTAAGTTTTCTAAAGTTATAACAACTGAAGTAAAAAAAAAAAAAAAAATATAATTTTATTTTTTCTTTTACATATCGAAATTGATACTGCACGCAAGCCGAGTGGTGATCAAATCTATTAAATGATTCAAATATGATTTTAAGCTTTAATCAATTTTCTTCCATTTGCAGGGACATTTTTAAATTAAGTTAAAATAATGTTTGTATATTGAAAAGGATTTTTATAAATAGCCTGAAAATTTTTCAGTTTATTCATCTATCAATCTGATTCTGTTTTATTATCTAACTGCGTGTTTAACAATCTGTTCATCTGTATATTTAACTATCTGACTGGTAATATACTTATAAATCTCTCTCTCATAGATATATATATATATATATATATATATATATATATAATGTGTGTGTGTCTGTGTATACCTGTAAGTTGATTCGATCTTTTTCACCGGTGTTTATCTTTCTGTCTTCTCCATCAAGATGTATCATTCATATATATATATATATATATATATATATATATATATATATATATTTCAAAATCGAATGCTCAGTTTAATTCTGAAATTGATTTTTGCGCTCGTCACGGTAAAATGCAGGAGTCATTTACCGTTTCAAATCGCTTAAATCAGGCGATGACCCTTCTCACCAACATGCGTTCTGATATTTGCCTTGGGAAATATCATTCCATAAATGAAGATATATTTTTCTTAGTTCTTTTTTTTTCACCTTGCCAGTAAAATATAATTCGCTGGATCTTATTTATTTGAATGTCCGATCAAGTATTTGATCAGCAAAAGCAAATATCGATTTCTCTGTTTGTTTAACGCTCCATATGTTCCAGACAAATCAAGCAATTCAAAATCCTCTTGCTCGTCATTTGTGCGTGGATGAAGATTGATATATTTTCTTGACGTGGTCTTGTAAAGATATTCTCGCATAGACTAACAGCAAAAAGCAAGGCAAACAGAGCGGGGTTTAATAATATACAGTGGAAGCTCGATTTACGAATTTAATTCGTTCCTGAAGGCTGTTCGTAACATGAAACTATATAGAAATCAATGTAGAGAAAAAAAAAGTCACAGTACAATAAAATTGGAAAAGAAAAGCATGACACAACACACGAATGTATACAACACGGCGGTCGACTCAAATATGATTCCGTTCGGGTTAACTCGGTTCGGCTATGTTGTTCGTGAACGGAAATTTTGTTCGATGCATTTTCATCTCGAATTTTCTGTTCGAAAACCGATTTGTTCGACATGTGAGACGTTCGAGAACCGAGGACCCCCCTCTCTTTTTATATATATATATATATATATATATATATATAAAAATTCTCAAAATGTGTGTGATCGGATGTTGTTTATGCATTTCCAGTTTTCATCCGATTTCGATTAAATTTATTTTGTATGTTTGATCATTCTTCAGAGCCGGTTTTGAGTCCAAATTGACTGCAAAAATTACAACTTTGAAGGCGAAAAATCGAAAAAAAAACTGATATTTTTACACTTTGCGCAAAAATCAAAGGCGAAATTTAATGTCTGTAAAAAAAAAAAAAAAAAAAAACAGCGTACAATGAATTTAAAGAGTTAAAATCTAACGCAGAAGATTATTAGAATTATGAAAAAAATTATTATAAATAAAAATTATCGTATATTATTATTATGACGGTCCATGGAAGAGGTTCTTTCCTTGCAAGATTGAGAACGCAAAAACGACCCTTTTCATGGCCTCCATTCCAATTCAAATTGTTAACTTCCCATTTGGGAAGGTTCCTCAGTTTCACCCAATTGTTGTTACTAATATTGATATTGAGGTAAGCTGAATTTAAACTTAAACTGATCCAAGTGAACGCAAAAATTCTCAGTAATGAAACACCTGGTTGAAGACTGGTTATACTGCTAGTACACACACATACACACATATATATATATATATAT